TTATATGTGTATATATATATACAAATAAATCTATCTATTTACACTTGTTGCATACATATACCCATCAGCTTGACGGAAGTAAGAAAGGTTCCTTTTGTTTGGATATGGGATTTTTCCATTCAAACAATAGTGTCCCTGGAGGCCACGATGAAGAGATTGAGGGAGCTAACAGGTGCTCTGTTAGAGATACCGCACTACTTGGTGCCGTAACTTGACTTGTACCAGGTTTATTCCCAAAAAGGTCCATACCCCCATATCATTTCCGTAGTTGGAAAACGTGATTAGCCTATATTGGTTGTATTGGGTTTTGGGATGCTGTTTGCCCATTTTTGAACAAGCCCACATGTTTATTTTCAATGAGGATGTTGTGTGACATTTTTGGGGTGAAGGGGAAATGTTCTTGATGAACCTTCGATACCACCAATGGTAACAACCTTTTTACAGGGAAATGCAATCTTTAGTATACCCAATGAACAATGATGTCATCATTTGAACAAAATCTACCAACAATGGTTCTGCACTCTCCACTTTTTTTGTTACAACAAAGGCCCCGTTTCTTTAAATTGTTCACCCGGAAAATGTATGTATAAATAATGTATATACCAGTACCTATATGGCCCACCCACGTGAGGCCAAACGTGCTCACCCTTGCGCACAAGTTTAGCTGCTCTGGCGGTTGGGGGCTGGAGCGTGTTTTCAGCACATGGGTATCTCAGCAGGATTGGCGCCAATGCCTTCCACCGATCTTCGAATTTACTGCCGAACGCGCAACTTTCCAAACCATTAACCAACCAAACTGTTTTTCTTTATCTAATGTTTTCAGATTTTTTTGGATTTGATCCGCACATGGGTTGGAAAAAAAACCGCACGCGACTCAGGTAAATGCACCAGAGTACTCCAAGCTGAGAACAGTTCGATTAGGCGCTTTTCTTCCCCATGAAGTGGCATCAGCGTTCTACAACTTCAAATCTGGAGATTTGTTTTACAACTTGTTGGTCGGAACTCCTGCCGATACTCAGCTTCCAATGTTTTTTTTCTGGAATGGATGGGTTCCCACATGTTTCCTACCTGTCCAACTTTTTTGAAATGCCAACATCTCAAGCTAGGACCTTGACGCTTACTGGAGCCACAATGAAGATCTTGCAGAAGAACTTCAAAACTATTGGGGTGATGAATTTTCAACAGCCAAGGTGTTCCCCGTTCGCTTCTATGGTGATGGGGCAGATACTATTGGCTTAAATTCCTTCGAGTTGTTGAGTATGATTTCGGTATCTCCTATGAACAGTCATACCATGAAAACAAGGTTTGTGCACTTTGCCTGCACATAGTTTTATTTTGGATTTTGCTGATTTTGAAAAAAGTAAAGACATTGGATTTGAGCTTATGACCCCCAGAGCAGGGTTGCATTATTTTAGGTATGCAGCGGATCCAAGCTGCTAAAAGCTGCTAAAAATCGTTGGCCAGCTCAGGCTTTCTGTTCGAAACACCCACACCACTGGAGATGCTGTCCGTCTGCAGTTGCTGGAAATGTTTGCCTGGTCCTTCAGTGCGCTCTGCCCCTTGGATTCATTGCTTAAGCCATACTTTTCCCAACAAACCTGAACCAGTTGAAAACCAGTGATGTTTTTTCTTCAAAAAAACGAGAAACCATTTTATGGTGATCTCTAGTCGGAGGCTTGTTTTAAGATGTTTTCCTTGACTGCATCAAGCAAAAAAAAGGAAACTGGCTCCCAGTTCATCCCCGTTGTCCACCTCTAAGGTAGCGGTGTATGGCCCACTTGCGACTGGAATGGTGAGCCGTTCAGCCCGACCCATTACCCGAGATGGCATGCACTGGCAGGGGAGGAGCTATGCGGGGGCTGGCGCGGTGTTTTCGATGGTGTTCAAGGGGATCAAGATTTTTTGCACAAAATTTTCCGCTTCAAACGAATTTCAGCTGGACACAAATGAGTTTTGGGGTGAATTGATTTTTGGATGGTCCAAATACAAGACAAGATGATAACATCATGTATTTACGAGATTTAGACTTTGAAGCTTATATGAGATGCATTCAATTGGTAACCCTAAATGTTGGTTGGTCATTTTTTGGATCCCGGTCAGAATTTGTTCTGTTTCGACAATGTTCAAATGTTGGTTGATTGAGGATCCTGGCATTCAAAGAGGCGGTTCTGCTGTCACTACTGTGGTGCAGTTTCATACTTGGAACCTGGCGAACCTCCCACCTTGCTTTACACTGCCTATGGCTCACACGCAGCTCACAGGTCGACGCGGCTAGACTGATATAGTAATCCATATGGCATGTACGGGATTCTTCTTTGTGAGCAGATTGGGGTAGTTACCAATAACTTACTTCTATCTCAGGTCTCTACCAAATCTGATTCCATCAATTTTTGGTCAAATTCCAACCCTCCAAAAAAGACTTCAAGAAACCCAGGTGGATTCGAGATGCAGCTGAATGGGTTCATGTGCACGGGCAGACTTCGCTATGCAGCATTCCAGGGTTCAGCCCTTGGCGAAACTAGGTCAAGATTGAGAAACAGTGTTTCTTGTGACCCCCGCGAATCTTAAAAATATAGTTATTCACAATCTGTACCAACCCATTCATCACAGGAATTTATCCAGACCTTCTACACATTGTAGACTTACAGATGTGCAGCGATGTCATTTCCAGTTGCCTCCTGGAATTGAGTGATGGCGCTCACCGTCCTCGAGATGCGCAGCTTCAGGAGCATCGCAAGCGCTATGAGCAGTGGTGCCATCAGCAGGGATCCATGGCAGCATCCACCCACTATGGAATTTAAGTTTTGCAAACAACAGTTGGGTGAACTTTGTTTTCTGCATTGTTGAAGATATATTTTTGGGGAAAAATTGGAAAGGGTCATGGTGAGGTTCAGTGCTTACTTCAGGTGTCCCTTGGCCCCTGAGAGGGACAGGGAGGTTATTCACTTCCAAAATCCTTCTTTCTGGTGGTACAACGCAGTATTGCAGCATTTCCCAAAAAGTCTTGAAGGGTGCAGCTGCCCGCATCATGATCTATTGGCTGTGTCTTTTGGTGGCTGAAAAATGTGATGGGTCGGAACATGATCTGAAACTCGGCTTTGCTCATGATCCGACATTTTCAGGAATGTTATCCATGTTTTCTGAACTTGGCAGATGATTCCCCAATTTTTTCTTTTACTTCCCACATGGCACTTTTGGGCCACCAGCTTTCACTGCAGGCACAGGCTCAACGTTTGCATTGGTTTGGCCTCCTTCTATGCAGTTTGCGGGGAAAACCAGAAGCTGGTCTGCACACACAAAGGGCTACATTTTCCTTCCGGAAATAGAATTGGTTTTTTCTCAAATTTCAGAGGTTTGTTTCCTAGCATGGGAGGCCCCCCAAACAAAGTTCCATTTCCTTTTTCTGGACCTTAGCCAAGTAAGGAGATATTGGCCTGAAATTTGGCAGGTGGAGCACCCATACGATACATTGGTCGAGTCTTACATGAAATTCCGCTGTTCATACAATTGAATCTTGGCAAAAAATTGTCGATTTGGGGGTAATCTCCATATCCATGGGTTGCAAAACTCCAAGCCAACCAAGACCAAGTCTTCATGGACTGCGTGTTTTCCATTTATGGGATTCCATTTTTTTGGACCTTGTCCGGGTAAAAACCCAACAACAGTGTAAAATTATTCGCACACCAAATTCCAATGTTTCAAGGTTCCCCTTTCCCATTGCGTTCTCAACTCTCGTTTGTATCTTTTCTGGGGCAAAACCCAAAAATACGCCTTGCAAAAAAAAAGGAAATTTAATAGATAGAGAGAGATTTATATATATATATATATTGTATATATAAATATATGTGTGTATATATATATATATCTATCTATCTATCTATCTATCTATCTATTTATCTATCTATCTATCTATCCATCTAACTATTTATCTATCATTATCTATATATACACAAAATAGTCACGTTGCGTGTGCAGCCTTGAAGGGTCCTATCCCACTAGCGTGCGCTGTCAAGCTAAGGGTTGGCAGATAGCAGTTTGACTCGTGGAATCCTTCGGTGGCCTCTCCGGCCAAAGCAACATCAGATGGAACGTCTGGCGCTGGACTTTTCTTTTTACGGCAACCCGAAATACTTTAGCTGCCTCAGTGATGAAGATTGCATTGGCCGTGTGAAGCGAATCTGTTCGCACACTCACCCACAAACGCTTTCAGTCAGAGCACTTGAGCATTACGCTGTAGCTGCAGCGTCAGTGTGGGTGGGCAACTTACTGTCAACGGAGCAGTAGAAAAATCAGAGCATGGAGATGGGGCACTTGTTGGGTTCTCAGCCGGCCATGGACACAGGATCCGGAATAGGTGTTTAAAAAACGCATCCCACAATTGTTCCGAGAAAGAAAATTGATGATAAAACGGCAGGAATTGGGGAAAGAATTTTGTTTAGAAATGCAGCACGCAGTGAACTGCCAAACTATTGGGATGTTGCTTGACAGTGCCACAACAAGTAATTTGATCGATTTACGTGCTATGTGCTAATTTTCTGGCATGTGTTTTTTGAATATATAGTGTTACCTGTGTTTTCTGTTCTGATTCTATCATTCTATCTGACATATGTTCTGGCATTCTAGCTGACATATTTTCTAACATTCTATCTGGCATTCTATCTGACTTTTGTTAGGGCATTTTATCTGGCATTCTTTCTGACATTCTATCTGTCACTTGTTCTGACATTATCTGACATGTGTTCTGGCAATCCCCCCACAGTGAAATCAGCAACCAGCTAAGAAGATGACTGCTGCCGATGTGCAATTCAACTTCAGAGCGCGTATCGCTTGGGAAGAAAGTGTTGGTGATGAGGCCTTTTCGTGATTTGCGTCTTAGCTTTGCTCATGGCTTGCAACTTTCCAGCACCAATATCGGCGAAAGCATGACTGGTTCCGATTGGCACCCCAAGGCAGAATTGATTTATAAGGTCGCCTACCTTATAAATCGTTTATCAAGTCTTTTAGCCTCTGTTGGCTATGGTAGGCTGCCCATGCGAAAAGAAAGCAACATCAGCTGGGCGGAGCGCCCTATTCATGGGGTCTTCTCCATTGATACTGGGCAAGAGTTCACTGGCCCGCATCATGAAAAACCAACCTGTAAGAAGGGCTCCTTTGATCATGGTTTGATCGACAACTGATAAACCGCTACTTTTCAAGTGCTGGACCAACCATCGCAACATGTTGGGGGTAACAGGGAGCTTTCGTTTTGGGGCACCTTCCCAACGTTGTAGACCCGCAACCGCTGCCCACAACCGAGGTCGCCCGACCAGTGGATCAGGGTATCCTGCCGCAACATGTGCATAACGAATGGCTGACAACCTTTGTCTGACCCCACCTATGGACCTTCCCATGACTTGATGTAGAAATCGTTGGCACCCCCTTTGAAGCTGAGGCTCTCTTAGGAGATACTTCGCCTTTATTCGCTTCGGTTCCGGGAGGACCACAACCTGTTCTTCAAAGTCTAGGTGGAGGCCCCACAGGAGCTGGGATTTTGCCGGGGTGCCTTCTTCGGCGAGCTTGTCGAGATTGATGGCTCCAGGGCCCCAGACTGATACCATAGCTGCATCCATTGCTGACAGGGATCTCTGGATCCTATTCCCCACTAGTGGCTCTACCACCACGCCGTCATCTATCAGCCATCGGCTGGTGTAGGGAACCACATCGTTGAATTGAGGATGGCATGGTCGGAACGACCCGTGGTGCTTTTGGGCTGCGGTGGCCCATATCACGAACTCCCCTGGCGCTCCTACCCAACCGAACACCATCACCAGACTCAGGATCAGCACACCTAGAATCCTCGTGCAGAATTCAGGGACATCGCCCGGCTTGAGGAAGTGCCACTTGAAAGCCCTTGGCACATCGCGTTTCGCACACCTCTGTGGAACCTTCGGGTGTCGCACCCTCCACCAAAGGCTTTGCCTGACCACTGCTCTGTGCCTAGGCTGAGCGGCGGGTGGGTGGTCGTATTTGGAGCCCGAAGCATTCCTGGCTCGCATATCGTTGATGGGACGACCTTCCGCTGAGATGGTTCTGTCGGGGTTTTGCTTGGGCACTCGGCCGAGAGGGCTCTCGGCCACCTTGCTCTCGGTCAGTATCTGGTCGATTTGCCGATTTTCTTCTTGGTCCTCGGTCTCTGTGGAACACAGAAGTACCGCCCCATAAGATGCGTCTTTCCATGCCTTCTGCAGCATCTCTTCCTCGTGCCCCCTGACGGAGCCGTGGTTTCGGGCCTTCTCTCTCTTGGGGGTACTCTTAGCTCGGCTGGGCACGCCCTTGAGCACACAGTCTTTCAAGTATTGCTCGTGTAGGGGGCTGAGCCCTTTCAATGCTCCTTCCTTTGCCTTCTGGAAGTGTTCCCCATACTTCCTCAGCCTCGCTTTGTTGACTAATTCAGCTGCTCTTGGCACCGAGCCGGCGGCCCTCAACAACGCATTTCCTGCCTCTGTGGCTTTTCTCACTGCCTCCTTGCTGTAAGCACTCTGGCATACCTCCAAGTATTTCTCAGCAGTGCTTTGGCCATTGGCGTCGTCGACGCTGCCTGCCCTTGTGCCCTGCCCCTCAGCTTGCTTTTCGGGATCGGAAACAGACCCCTCCCCCCCACAAAACGTACAAGGGTAGACCATCTGTTGGAGTTCGCATCCTGAACAGGTGTAGCCATGTGGGAGGCCTGGTCCATCCGCTTGGCCAGCAACCACCGGTGCCAAATGTTGGCCAAGGGTTCGCTCCAACGTATTGGCTGGATCAGCCGGCCAAGGGGGTGCGTCCAGTTCGGTCCAACATTTCTCTAGGGCTTTGAGCACGCTGTGCTCTTGCAGATATGTTGTCCAGCTCCATTCTTCAAAGGCTGCTCGGACTACCAGACCCCAGGCTGCACACAAAGCTGGTGCGTATTGCTGTGCCAGTCGAGTGAGAGGTACTTGAGGAATTGGACTGGGTCCCTTCAAGGGTGCGTGCTGGTGAGTCGGGCCGACTCCTGGGCACTGCCTACCAAGGAATAACAAGGCCCATGGGTAGAGTTCTGGGGAGACCAGCCACCAAGAATGCTTGCGATGAAACAGGCCCTCCTCAGTCTCAGGCGGTCCCAGACCCCAAGCGCACATAGCCATAGAGACAATTTTTGCGCCGGTGCGGCGGCGGAGCCTCTGCATACAAGGCAGGTCCCATATCTTGGGGTAGCGGCCCGACGGCGCGCTACTCTCCAATGCGAAGACTCTTCCGTTGTCCGCCAGAACCGTACAAAGTTCGGCTGCGAACTCTGCGTCTTCATTTCCTTGAACTTCAGAGGGACGAGTGCCGTCGCCTTGTGGGCGTTGCCAGGTCCTGCTGCCACCGTTCTTCAGCTGGTGGTCGCAGAAGGAAGTACAAACGACTCCAAGCTGCCAAGTGTTGGGGACATCGGGCCCTGGTGGAGCACCAGCTAATCCCAGCAATCGTTCTCGGACCTTCGGGTCACGGGTATCATGCTGCGGCTTAAAGCCCTTTTGCTCGATCGGGTCCTCATAGTATTCAATGGGTTCTCCGCACGGGATCCCCTGGTACTGAAGCCCCTTGGTCCATCCTGCCCATCCAGCGTACACCTCTTGACCAATTGGCCCATAGGCGAAGGCGAGCCTTTTTCGCAGAGGCACACCGCTGTTTTGAAGAGCCTGTGGATCATCCTGCAAGCAGGACTCAAATGAAGCCGGTGGCAACGGGAATCCTTCACCAACACGATAAGGCCTTTGCTGCTGTTGCTGGCATCTTGTGCAGGCGGGGGACTTGGCTGGAACCATCTGATCCTCCACTTTGCTCTGGTCCAAGATCACCCTCCAATGTTCAACCTGAAGTTCCCTGGTGACCTTGTCTGCAGTCCTCAGGTGATCCAACAGCTGCTGGGGCTGTTGTGGAAGAAGCAGGCGCATATGCCCCCGGTGGATGGTAACGAAAACTAGCTTCCCATTGCCAGCATCATCTCCGTGGAGCAAGTCGACCTCCAACCGACCAAAATAGGAAATCCTGAGGACCGCCAACGTGTATCCTTGCAGCATGGATCCTGTGAGGGTTTGCAAGGCGCGGTAGTCTTTCTCGTGGTGAGGATAGAGGCAATCATGGACGTTTTGACGCAAGAAGTGCTCGCCCTCAGGTATCCACGCTGGCGGATCGCCAAGGTGTGCGTGAGCCTCCACTGCTTCATCCCAGAGATGTTTTCTCAACTGGTTGGCTCTGGCTACGGCCTCTCGTAGTTCTACAGATGGATCATCGGCCAACGCTAACCCGACACCCACATGAAGAGGCAGGCATTGGCGCTCTTCTTCCAACTGCCCGTCTTGCAGTGGGACCTCGCTGTCTTTTGCGTTCAAGCGATCCTGGTAGTCACGGACCGTGACTGAGCCGATATGCGACAAGTTTCCTTGAAAGTTCAACAGGCCATGACCAATACCCTCGTCCCATGTGATGGGCGTAAATTCGACATCCGCTTGGTGACCCGCTTTTGGCTCGTGCTTGAGGAGCTCAAGTTGACGTCCGGCTTCCTTAGAGAGCGCGGGATGTCCATGTTCTGCCGCATCTTCGAGACACCGGTTCAGCTCCAGTTCATATCCTTCATCTTGTGCTGCCATCATGCGTGCAATCACATGGGACCTGAGATAATCCGTGGGCGACTCCAAGGCCGCCAGAACCCCTTTCTCCTCCAGCGACTTCCATCGTTTCAGCCTTTCCCGCTCCTCTTGGCTCTGGTCATCCCAAGCCGGAGCGGCTTCTTGCTCAGTGGGTTGTGAGGGTATTCGCAGCCAGCCCTCATCTGGGCCCTGAACCGCCTCTTGCAAGTCAGTCTCGAGATGGGTCAGAGGGATATCATAGTCTTCAGGTGCGACCCACTGGGTGTTCCCAACCTTGTCTTCTTCAGCTTTACCCTCAGCTTCCTTCCCAGCTTTGGCCTTTGGCTTGGGCTTGACTTTCGCTTTCTTGCTAGGTTGGATCTTGTCGGCCTTATCCGCCGCTGCCTGGGTTCGCAGCTGAGCGACCCTTCCGTCGACCTCTTTGGGATCGATTTTCGGCCCACCTTTGAGTCCTCCTCTTCGAATGACCTGCATGGCAACTGTGTAGTCAAGTTTGGCCAATCCCGGCAAAGGCTCGTGCGCGTGCTGGCACTTGTCGCCTCTTGTGCATCCCATGTGTGTGGCCGCATCCCAGCAGATAGGTTTGTTGGTCTTGGGATCCTTAGGTGCGTGCTCCACGGACCGTGAAGCTTCTCCTTGTGTAAGCCGTTTTCCAGCTGGGTAGGCTGATTTCATGCTGCCGCCCGCATATCCATCGGCCTCTTTGTCTTTCAGGTTAAGCTTTGGGGCTTTCCCTGTCCTTGGCTCTTCATCTTCAGCTGGACCAGCTGTCTTCTTCTGCTTGAGGTTGTGGTCGTGCAGCTGCTTGTGGAGCAGCCTCGACATTTGCCTTTGCTGCCTGGGTACCACAACTGTCTGGTAATATCCGTTCGGGTCGCCCAGATCCCATATGCTTGGAAACTGGAAGTTTGCTTGCCCATCCGCTCCCGGCGCCAAAGCTAGCAGCTTCAGGTCTTCAAGCCGTGGATTTTCGGTCCCCAGCAGAGAGCAGAGTTTCCTTCTGCTTTCTCGCAGTTCTTCGCACCAAGCCGCGACAAGTTCCTCAAAGAGCTCGATGCAGTAGGCAGCTGGGAAGGCATGCTCGTCTTCTTCATGGGCCTCCTTCAGGGCTTGGAGACAATCGAGCCTTTCTTGGATATGCTCTGTACCATAGCAGGATCCAAACACACGAACTGAGTTTTCCGCGTACCTGAGCCAAGTGTTGAAGACTCCTGGTGGTCTCATGCGATTTTCGATCTTGTTGTCGAAGGACGGATTCCAACTGTCCAACTGCTCGGACCGAGCGGTAACGCAGTCACTTGCGTGTGTCTTTGCCACCCCACCACAGACCAGCGATGCCAAGTAGGACCCTGTTGGTCATCAGCACCGGCCATTTGATCAAGTGCAGCATATGGCGAGCGTGATTTGCCACCCTTTTCCCCGCGTGGAAAAGTTCCTTCCCGTACACTCCCGGTGCGAGTTCAACGGTCAGGGTGCCACAGCCTCGTGCCAGGAAGACGTCCATCTTCTCCGCCTCTTTGATAGAACTCAAGGTCCCTTTCGTGAGGTTTTTGTCGTCATCCTGTGCTCTTCTCAGACCGTCGATGGCGTGAATGATGCGGTCCGCGCTCTGGACTTGTGTGCTGTCTCCGAGGGCTTCTCCGAACGTGGCTCCTGCTCTGCCCTCCGGCATCTGCTCCGATGCTGGTTTCACGAGACTGTTTCGACCGCCTGACCCCTTGGGAAAGAGCGACAATCCACCTCTCTGGACCGGGGAGATTGAGGAGGAGCTCCTCGGCAGAAGTGGATTCGCCGGCCGGGGGACTGCTGGCTTTACGGTCACTCCTCCTGGCATAGTTGCCGTCACGGGTCTTCTTGCAAACTCCATTTCGCTTTGGTCGGCTCCCAATCCTGGTGGTGTCGTTGGCTTCGAGTAGCTAAGGCGGTGATTCCTCGCATACATCGACTGAGCCAGTTGCTCATGATCTAGGTCGAAGGCAGTGGCCACGGTCTGCAACACTTCGGAATCTATCTCTCCCTCAATGTGCTGGTCAAGAGCTCTTCGAGCCGCCTCCATTCTTCCCTGGCGATCTGAATCATCTAGGTCTGGGAAGGGTGGAATCGCCGGTCCCGCACCCTCTTCCAGCTCGACTTTCGGCTTTGGCGGTGTCATAAAGTCGTCGGACATCTCAGCTTCTTCACGCAAATATGCATCAGCATGTGGGAGGATCTCCCGGTAGAGTCTCCCCTGCCAGGCTTTACTTGGCTTCGCTCCTTCATCCGTCACCTCACCGTCCCAGGCATTCAGGGCCGCTGCTTGGTCTTCGGACAGGCGCGCGACCAAGACCGATATCCCTTGGCCGACTTCTTCGTCATGGGTATGCTGAAGGAACTTCTGCACCCAATGCTTACTAATTCGACCCGCCCCGTTGTCTCGAGGGGACCCTTTCAACAGCCTTCTGTGGATCACACACGTTTGCTTCAAGGAAGGGATGTGGACTTCGAGCAGCTCCTGGCTGCGCCCTTCTTCGGCGAACCCCTCGATGCGCCCCAACCATGCAGTCCACCTGGGTGGGGCCTCCGCGGTTTGTAATGACTTTGGTCTGAGGAGCACCATGCACGGGCCCTTCTCAAGCTTGCCTTCAATCTTCTTCTGGGATTCACTAGGATCGGCCGAAGCAGCCCTGGGCCCAAGTCGTTCAGCGCCGTCAAAGATGATCCGGCGGCTTCTTCGTGCAGGGGTGAGGCATTCTCCTTCGGACATAGATGCCTCGGATCGTGCAATGGAGCTATCTCTCTCATGTGTCCAGCTAACCCTGCGGGTAGGGCGAGCACAACCACCAAGGTCCGTCAGGTGGTGCTTGCAGAGGGGAACTCCCTGTTTGGCACCATCAACCTGTTCGTAGCAAGCCAACACGCTGCATTTTCGGCTTGAACATGCCGCCACGTAGAGCTGCCGATGATGGTCGCAAAGCCTGACGGAGGATCTCCTTTTGACGTCAGAGAGTTCTCTGTCCCTCTCCAGGAGCCGGACCGGCTCTCCGATAGCCCGATCTGCACATGGGTCTGTGGCCAATGCTCTCGGTTTGCCTCCATGTTCCAAACCGACTAATACGGCCTCACAAGGGTCATCTTGTACCTCTACTTCAGATTCAGATTCCGCATCCAAGGGTCTGACGACGGCTCCTTCGACTATGGTTCTGGGTGGCGTCCGCTTTGCCCAGAGTTGTCTGAGAATGAACCATCCCGTCAGATAGTACACGCAGAGACTAAGCCCCCGCACCATTCTACGTAGCCATCGACCCATCAAGACGATCACCCTGCGGGTGGACCACCCTGCATAAGCTCCCAAATCCACCAGCCCATTGGCATCCACCGAAGCGTAAGCTTTGCAATGTAGACCGGGTGTTGGTTGCAATTCAAGCGGACACCGCTGCTCGCGACAGAGATGGATTTTCCCCTCCTGTTCCAACGTTTGGCGAAGCGCTTTCGACGTGGAACCCTTCACTCCACGGAGACGAACCCATAACCCGTATCGATCCACACGTGCCCAATGATCCCCGTCTACCTTCAAGCGAGCTATTTGGTCATTCACCACAACAGCTACGTCATTGGGTTTTCTTTCTGAACCTCGACCCTTGACGCCTCGTTGGTAGAATTCGGAATCGACGCCCCCGCTAGAGGCGGGTCCACGGATATCCAGCTTTTCGTATGTGCCCCCAGGTCTAAGTTCGGGGAGGAGCTCCCCCACCTCTTTGGCTACTGCTCTGGTCTGTCTGCAGCAACATTTGCAGAAAGCTTGACAGGGCCGGCAGATAACCAATAGCAAGTAGAGAATCAAAATTGCTCCCAAAACCACGATGGCACTTAACAAACATCTGGCAACCCATGGCCAAAAATCTCCGCATGTCCACACCCCCAGCTGATCCAAGAAGTACAATCCCCACCCTCCTGAGGAGCTCAGGGTTCCAGGTGCTGTTGGTGTGCTGAACCATGAGGAGCCTATCCATGAACGGAAATCAAAGTGGAGGACAGAGTATCCCCACACATGGGCTATTCCTTCAAACGGGATTCCAGATTGAGAACTTTCCTTCGTGGGATCGGACTGACCTTCTGATACTTCGGGTTGATCTTTCCCATTGGTGACTTCTTCCTCCCTAGATCCAGTCATCCCATGAAAGACATCCAGGTACCATGGCAGGCCATACACAGAAGGGGAACCTACACTGGAAACTAGCCCTAATATGAGCGCCCAATTGCAAATGGGCATTATGACGATTTCGTCAGTATCCAACAATCAAAATGGGCAAAGACTTGAGCCCAAAATGACAGTAGCAAAACACGCTAACCCTCCGTTCTAGTGAACATCCAATTATGTATGATACATGTCCATGGTTGTTGTCGAAATTTATCAATCATGATGTGTGGCAAACAAGGCAACCATCAATGGTGCTTTCCGAGCCACCGAGCCACCATCTTTACTTTGACAAAAATTCTTTGGATCCTTCGATTTAGTATAGATATACCCGGCCTGGTAATGACTAACGTAGCTATTGGAAATGGCCCAGTCGAAATAGTTACATAGTTGGTTTACCCATTAATAGCATGGTGATTTTCCAGTTCGCTATGTTAGTTTACCAAAGGGTAATATAGAAGTATGTATGCATCCTCTGATTGTTTCATGTAGGTCAATCATCATGTTTATCATCTATAAATGGGCGATGGCGTCCATAGCTATGTTGAGGAAACCGAAGAGCATATTTAAAAAATACACATATTATAAAAATATCTAAAAATACACATAATCAAAAATATACATTCATATTAGCTATGTCATATTTAAAAAAATAGACGAATATTCGATTGGCCCACTGGGCGGGGCTTGTCTGTTGATCTGACATCCTCCATGACTCTTGTGGAAACAACGTCTCTTGAAACAGAGGATTGGAGGCCCAAATCCACCAATATGAACAATTATGAAACCAAGTCTGTGAAATATAATATATATAATATATATATAATATAATTGTATATAATTATATATATATAATAAGATCATATTGTTTGGAATATCCTCATACCAAACTACATACCAAACTATATTCCACAAAAAAATAATGAAACCATATTTCCCAGCCAGTTGGTGTTTGAAGGCGCTCAAAGACTCAAAGACCTTTGGGCCAAGTGGCATAGGGTGAATATCCGGTCCTCTCCATATTGCCTTTCCTCAGCATCATTTGACGGGGTGCGGGGCGCTCACCGCAGGCTGAGCCGGTTGAATCCCCATGACACATCGAAACATCCTCATCTAAACAGCATCGAAACATCCCCAGGTCTTTGACAAATCTCCCCATTTGTGCCAGGAATCAAGGTCGTGGCGTTCTGTCAGGAGAGAACTTCTGTATAGACTTAGAAGACTTAGACAGGAAACTCGTTCTTAAAGTAATTGAACGTGGTCCGTCATATAATGTTTAGAAACTCTGATGTAATCCTAGTTACTAGTTGGTTCATAAGTGGTTGATAGGTACATCCGCAGGATTTCAGGAATTGTCTCACAAGTTGTGGTAGCTACTGCCCAGCTACAACAACAGGCAAGAAAGGTCGATGAGGCACCAAGCAACCCACAACTTTGCTTAAAGTATTCAACACTTAAATGCCTATGTGTCTCATCTATACATAGTATACATACATCCGAATTTGATACGACAGACAATCAATTTCCTGGATGTATTAATTGCATGTTGTGACATTTGATGCTTCAGTATAGTCAGTATACCCTCTATTTGGTTGGTTCACTCTCTAAGCTTGATCGGTTGGATCCCGTAAAAATCGGAACCACTCACTTCTGCGGCCCCAAATCGCACCAAAATTCTACAGGACCTAAGGCTGCGATTACCCACTGCCAGAGGGGTTCAGCATTCTTTATTGCACCTTTCCAGATGGTTCGTTCGTCAAGAATCTCCGAGAACCGAGATTATCAAGCCCTCAAAATGCTTCCAAATTCCAGAATCCCACAGATTTGAGGCATTTCTGGGTCCATGTTCCCAGAATTTTCCTACCCTAATTTTAAGCCATCTTGGGATCCACCCATCCCCACATCCTGCTGCGCTTCTGCATGGGCCAGTGATGCTTCCGCTCCACTTTCGCAGCAACGCAGGCTTTCCCGGCATCGCAGGAGCCGTCGCCTCCGTCACCTCCAAAACGACAGGCAGGAGTTTGTTGTTGGGTGCATCCCATACTTGGTGGTTCATCCCACTGAGTAAGTGGGTTATAACCCCAGTTATAAGTGGATTAACCCTACTTATCCCATTTATAACTGAGGTTATAACCCACTTACTAAGTGGGATGAACCACCAAGTAGATCCCAAAAAAGAACAAGGTAAGGCACCCATATTTTGAGCGCTGACTTTATCAACTTGGTGAAATTCTATGGTTTATGCCTGGGGATATTTCACGAACTAGAATTCTATGGAGGTGAAACTGGACCAACAAACATCACTGGGGCCTCACAACTATATGGGATTATGTGCAATGACCCTCAAGTGGTTGCTTAATGCAGATGGTTTAAATTCGGTCTACCGTACTACGTGGTTTATGTCTGTTTTGTAAAAAAAACGTGCGCCGCCCGGAACTTCGGAAATGGGCCTCCAACATAGCTACATGGTGATCCACTTACCCTCTGGTAATTTAACATAGCTATGGAAAATCACCATTTTCAATGGGAAATCCACTATAGATGGCCATTTTCAAGAGCTATGTTAAATTACCAGAGGGTATCCACTTAGTTTGCGGGAACTGGACTTTCAAGTGCACCCTGACCAGTCTTCTCAGACGTTCAGCCGACTTCTGGCCTGAGACATCTTGGCCATAGACCTGCCATGGAAGTTTCAGGGCACCGTTTCTAGGCAGATGTTGGTTCATGGAAGCAGTTACCCTCTGGTACTTGGTGGCTTACACCAGAAATCGTAGGTTTTTAGTTCTAACCCCAGTTATAACTGGACATTCTCCCCTCAGCACCTTTCGAAGCCACTGATGACGAAAGGCTCCAGAAATGGCTACAGTAGACCATTTACGATGGAAGACTGGAGAATCACCACCTTTTTTTGACCATTTTGGTTGATAGGAATGGACGGAATTCTCAACAAGGACAGTGTAGTCCCACATAGAGTCCCTACGGCCTTAGGCAGGATGCCTGTCCCATCAACTGCAACACAACACAGCACTTTTTTTGTCCCCTTCCACAAGGGTTCCACGTTCCGCACATCAGTTTTCACCTAAAAAACCTGTACATTGGAGGCATGGGAAAAACCCATCCCATCAGCACGTTTCGGCTGGGTCGACGAACCACGTCCATCTCAGCTCCAATCGGGGCATTTACCCCGACTCTCCCATGAAGGTCCAAGGCGAAACCAGACGGGGAGGGTGGTTGTTGTCTACAGAGTCTGAAATGAAGATGAAGATGATCATTGTTATTGTTGTTATTATGACGAGTTTTATTGATATCATTATTCTTATATATAAGAATATTGTTGTTATCATCAATGATTCTTATCAATGATAAGCTTATTATCACGATGAGAAGATTCATGTCCATCAAAAAAATGGGCTGTACCTAGCTCCGGTACCTTCGGGATCCCCAGCATGTTTTTTTCATGCGGAAAAGACACCCAAAAAACAGCCGCGCTCCAAGCGGCAAATCATCGGAAATGTTCTTGGGATTGATATATATATATATGTATATGTATATGTATATATATGTACATATGTACACATGTATATATCATGTTTCAAAAAAAAATGTGACCATCTTTGGTCATTCCTATCATATTGAAACACAACTCTGTACCAAGCTTTGGGGACCTTAGCGGTTTTTGCATGACCTTGTCGCTCCCCTAAAATGATACCGAAGCCTCATGAGAGGGTCAACTGTACGGCCGGCTTATGGACATCAACGTACGTTCCCGGGCGAGATTTTTTCAGGTCGTGGCTGCAAAAAAAATATGATCCCAAGAAGGATTTGAGGTAACCCAGAATAAATATTATGACATGGAATGTGACATGGAATATGGGATATGATGGGATGGTTATATATAATTATGGGATGTGAAATTTCTTGAATTCTATTGATGTAATATGATATAATGTTAGGAAAACAATGCCATAAACCAACCATGACTGGGAATGGTTTATTTACGAACACACAGACAAGTCATCAATGTTAGCTGTGAAACATTGTGAAACGAATTTTTGATTTCCCACACTTCCATACTTTCCAGGTACGTTAAGTGGACTTTAGTGATGGGAAGGCAAATTTGCCATAGGATGCCATAGGTTAATCTGTTGATCATTCTTCCAGTGCCATGAATTTCCGCAACCAAACTTTGCAGGTATGGGCCAAGCACTGATCAGCCAGCTTTCTGCCCACGACTTGCGATCAAATCAATCTCACCCAGGCACTTTGATAAATTGTACCATCTGGTTATGACTAACATAGCCATGGAAAATCACCATTTTGAATGGGTAAACCATCTATTTCTATGGGTCATGGCTTCCATGGCTATGTTAGTCATAACCAGATGGTAGGGGCACAGTCTCTGTGCCTCGAGCTGTGAGGCATCTGCCGCGATCATAGGCACGACAGCATGGGGACTGGTGCGAAATTTGCACTGCGCAGGGCGAGGCTTTACCTTCGCGGTTGGAAGAATCTCCCTGGAAGTTCTGGGAAAATGATGATGACCCTGCAGGTAGCATCGTGCACCAAACTTGTTTTAGTTGACTCTCAGGGGTTTTCTGAGGCAACACCTTGGAAATTTGGAACAATTCAACACTTCGGAGTCCCGACAAGTTGCTTGGGCATGTTTCCCCCTCGCAAAGCTACATGAAAACTCAGGCAGAATGTTTTTTTCCACCTGGATAGGGGGATCACCCCAACCATGCCTACAGAACATTGCAAGGTCAAGTAGGACACCCATATCAAACAGAACATCTCACAGCATGGCTATCACAACACTGGTCCACTGGTTCTCATGAAAATCCCAGCGATTCCCATCGTGATTGTATCCCCATATCAGATCCTGGCCCCTCCAATGGCGGCTAAGATATGCCAAAGTGCAAAGCTCTGTACAACTCATTTGCTCCTGCTGGTTGAACTCATCCCCGAGCCCGGGGAACCCCATCTGCCGGGGTGAATAGCCATATGGGTTGCTAGCTACAGCCATGCTGGTTATTCCGAGATTCCCTGGAGAATTCACCAAGAAATGACTTGGTGTTCATCCACTGAGGGACTGAAGGGGCACCAAGTCTCGGACCTCAGAAGGTCATTTGGAATGAAAAGAAGTCTCGGACTATCCCTTTCTGACTCCTGAGATCTGGTGGAACCTCAACAAAAAAAGACCCTGGCGCTGGCTTCTAGGCATGGGGAGCCCAAAAAAACAACGCATCCACCCACCAATTCGCAACACGAAGCAACGAAGCAACGAACGGCCCCCCCGGCTCTCCTGCGCACCCCGGCCAGCGAGCTCGGACCACTAGACCAGCACTAATTTCCTCAACTCACAGTCGCTTTTGATCCTGGAAGGATCCAGAGGTGCAACTTCTGGAGGAGGTCTGAAAATGGGCCCCAGAATCGCCATGAAAAAATGGGGATGGTGCACTCATTGGAATTGGGGGGACCCTAATTTTCAGACAAAGCCATGTCCTATTGAAGACAATTCCGAACATTTCTTCAAGTGTAGCATGAGTTGGTACTTTTATGACTGCCAGATATTGCCTCCACTCTGCTTGTATCGTGTTCACTAGATCAGTGCTAGATTGGTCAAGTGCATCAGATCCACATCAACTTGAGTGCGTAATGTGGGTTTCAAAAAAAAACAATGCCATAAACCATCCCCCGGTCATCACCATTAGGTGGTATAAATAAACCATTCCCAAACGGGTCGAAAAAATTCATGGCATTGTTTTACCTTCATTACCCTCTGGTAATTTAACATAGCTATAGAAAATCACCATTTTCAATGGGAAAATCCACTATAAATGGTAATTTTCAATAGCTATGTTAGTTACCAGAGGGTACATCCATTGGGATCAACGGTTAAACCATGGGAAAGGCAGGTCCAAGGTCCCCCCGAAAGACATCCTCAACCAAACGGGGACATGTCGTCGACCCAAGCGGTACGTTTTCAAGTGAGATGGAGGTTTCCTAAAATAGGGCTTTCCCTGCAATGTGGGGCCCCCCAGTTATAAGTTGGTTTATAATCCCCAGTAACTATAGTTATAAGTACCATAAACCATAGTTATTGGAGTTATTAACCAACTTAGCTATCTAGGGGGCCCCACTTTGTGGTTATCATCCATGTTATTCTTGGGATTTTCCATGAAATAAACCATCCAGCGAGCTGGGGGACCATGACTTAGGAAACGATGTTTGAGATCTCCCCGTCCTCCGCATCCCTGCCGAGAGGATCTCTTCCTCCAATTCCAGGAAGGTGTTCCGCACCACAACTTTGGTGGTTTCAGTCCTTGGACCCATTGGAGGCCAGTAAATTCACCGAAAAGAAAAGTGGTGTATCTCTGGATGAATGTGATTTTTAGCCAATTTCGTAAATCATCCCCCAGTCATCATGCCAAAATGACTGGTAAAATCCATACCCAGATGGTAGTTGTTGATTGTTGAGTTTCTCACATCAACCAGCTTTGCAAATCACAAAAAATATGGCAACTTCATCCCCAAACGGTAGGTTTATGGCATTAGATTTCCAACATTCACACCCTGAGAGGACATCGAAAACAAATAACAGCGGCCAAAGATGCACCAAATTGTACGTGTCCAACAATCAACAAACATACAATCTATTCAATAGATGTTCAATATTGGTTTGGAATCATTATAATATACCATATTTTATGGGATTAACATGGATTAACATGCAATCCAACAATGTCGGGAAACAATGTTCAACAAACATGAAACATCCCAATTTGTTGCTTTTGTTTCCAACATTGATCCAGGTTTCATGGAACTCACAGGCTGATCGTCGCTGGTGACGAAGCGTGGCATCACATCTTCCTGAAGGCCTCAAGAAACGAGATCAACGAGTCAGGAAGATTTTGGCAACAGTCCTGCGGCTGAAACCAACACGATTTTTTGGAGCCAAATTGGGTGCCATATGTATAAAACGATAAGTAACTGGTGGTTTGAACCCCTCTGAAAAATATGAGTTCGTCAGTTGGGATTATTATTCCATGTATATATATATACATGGAAATTCATAAAATTCATGTTCCAAACCACCAAGCAGTTAAGCGTTTTGATGCTTGGGAACATCATCTCCATGTTGCAGGTCAAATCCAAAGATTGATGTGTCATCTCTCGCTGTAGCTATGTAGTCAAAGCATGTTTTTTTTGCTTCGAGGTCATCCCGATATTTGGAATCCATAGATAATCAGTTCATCTAAATCCCTATGAATATTAATATGTATAAATATATATATATGGATGGGTAAATTATACTAATTCACTAACCTGAATCTTGCGGCCATTTGGGGATCATTTCCCTATAAAAACCATGATTTCCAGTGAGGTCGCAGTGAGTATAACCATTCCCTTTGATGTGAAAACAAGCTATGATTTCACCATGGCACGGGTCAACTTAACTATGTCAAAAACCCCAAGAAATATCATAAGATATGGCTATAGCCTATGGCCAGAAAGCCTATAGCTCTTTATCTATCAGAGTTAGTTGGGGCACTCGATTCGTAGCTCCAAAGAGGCCTCCCATTCACCACTGGATAGTTCCACTCCCCCTAAAAACCCTTAAGACTGACATAGATTGTGCAGAAAAAACCCGGAAAGATCTGACCATTTTCCGAACGGCCATGGCTTAAGTTAAAGCCACATCTATGCCCGAGTTTACTCCAAGGTACGGTATATTGTGATCTGCTTGGTGGCTCATCCCACGAATCGTAAGTGGGTTAGTTCACCCCAGTTATAAGTGGATTAACCCTCCTTGTCCCATGTAAATCACTGGGGTTATAACCCACAACCACGAGCCGTGGGTAGTTAGCCACCAAGTAGAATTATATTTTATAATCTATATATCCTATTATATATATATATTATATCTATATATATATACATATGTATATATATATATGTTTTAAAACAAATAATGGGATAGAACTAACCATCACATGTCCCAAAACCCCCCCGGGTCGTTCTGTCGCGTTCCGAGCCGCTGGGCGCGGTGGTGCCACCCCGTGCGCGGCGGTAGGCCGTCTTCTGGAGCGTCAGGGCGGGCCGGACGGAGTCCTGGGAGGTGGGAAAATTATGGGAAAACTATGGGAAAATTATGGGAAAATATAGGAAAATTATGGGAAAATATGGGAAAATTATGGGAAAACTATGGGAAAATACAGGAAAACTATGGGAAAATATGGGAAAATTATGGGAAAATATGTGAAAATTATGGGAAAACTATGGGAAAACTATGGGAAAATATGGGAAAATTATGGGAAAACTATGGGAAAATATAGGAAAATTATGGGAAAACTATGGGAAAATATGGGAAAATTATGGGAAAACTATGGGAAAATATAGGAAAATTATGGGAAAACTATGGGAAAATATGGGAAAATTATGGGAAAACTATGGGAAAATTATGGGAAAATATAGGAAAATTATGGGAAAATATGGGAAAATTATGGGAAAACTATGGGAAAATACAGGAAAATTATGGGAAAATATGGGAAAATTATGGGAAAACTATGGGAAAATATAGGAAAATTATGGGAAAACTATGGGAAAATTATGGGAAAATTATGGGAAAACTATGGGAAAATATAGGAAAATTATGGGAAAACTATGGGAAAATATGTGAAAATTATGGGAAAACTATGGGAAAATTATGGGAAAACTATGGGAAAATATAGGAAAATTATGGGAAGACTATGGGAAAATATGGGAAAATTATGGGAAAATATAGGAAAATTATGGGAAAACTATGGGAAAATATAGGAAAATTATGGGAAAACTATGGGAAAATATAGGAAAACTATGGGAAAACTATGGGAAAATTATGGGAAAACTATGGGAAAATATAGGAAAATTATGGGAAAACTATGGGAAAATATAGGAAAATTGTGGGAAAACTATGGGAAAATCATGGAATATCAACCCAAAAGATGGGATGTTGACCTGGTCGTTCTAGGTTTTGCACAGCTTCGCAATTTGCTTCTTGGTTGTTGGTTGGTGTTTTTTCCATCAATGACTCCGAAAATGCCAATATTTTCAACCAGCACAAGTTATGGATTGATTGCCCTGGCAGAACTGGATGATGAACCTTCCCAAGGACCAGGTCATTCACCGGTAACTGCGGTTGTGGTGCTTTGAATAACTTGATCCCTTCCCTATTGGAGCTACATGTTTCAGCAACATCCCAATGTATATTTTCGGATCTGCAAATCGTGTTTGATCCACCGGGCAAGTTTCAACCAAAGTGAGCCTCACTGAAAAAACCTTTATGGTTCCATGGAATACTGGTTGAGAACGGCGTTCCCAGTTCATGGATTAAGATAATCCCAATATATGGATCTGTCTAACAATGGGGTATACCTGGCTATACCTCCAAATAGCCACTGTCCAAAAATCATGAACCATTAGATTGGGCTGTGTTCCCCTAAATCTTCAGAACCCCCAAAAAAAAGGATTGGTACTTGGTGGCTCATTCCACGGCTCGTGGTTGTGGGTTAGTTCACCCCAGTGATTTACATGGGACAAGGAGCGGGTTAATCCACTCAAAAAACTGGGTAGTTCACTAACCCACCCAATTATAAGTGGATTAACCCTACTTATCCCATTTATAACTGGGGTTATAACCCACTTACTAAGTGGGTAGTTCGCCACCAAGTAGATCACCGTACAATCCGCCCTGGCTCCACCCCCCCACGGCACGGCAAGTGGGTCCTTGATCTGGTCCCACTCCGTGCGCTGCATGACGCACTGGTAGGGAACCAATCTTCGACCGTCCAAGGAGTCCCAGATGTCTGCAGTAAGAGACAACTTCTTCAGGAAACACCGCAGATACCTGGGGAAAAATCCAGGAAATTTCGCTGGAAAAGACCCTGGACCCTGGAATCAAAAAGATGCCCAGCAGGGATGGTGATCTCACTATTTTAGGGGATTTTTTGGAGCTTGCAGCTTTCCCAATTTATGGCGTTTTTGGTAAACACTATGAATCTCCACCTGGACAAGATACAGTTGACGAAACGTATCTGTTAATTATTTAAAGGGGGTGAAAGTTTGGTTGTTAGATGCCTGATGTTGACTGCACATGTCTTTTTGAGTGAAAAATATCTGGCTTTGAAACCTGGGGGTGAAACCTAAGTCATCTGGGGAACCCCTAGTCATCGTCATCCATTTTGATAGGCTTTTCCATCCTAAACCAACCAGCGAGCTTGGGGTACCCCCATGACGTAACCTCCATCTTGGTGGTTGCAGATCTTGATCACCGGATTTCACTGGCATGGCCTAGCAGGTGAACTTGGCTACAGTTACCCGGCCTGGTAAACATACAAAAAGCTATTGAAAATGGCAATAGACATAGTGGATTTACCCATGAATAGCATGGTGATTTTCCATGGTTATGTTAGTTTCCCGGAGGGTAACCAAGTTGTGCAACGCAACAGCGGACAAAGCATCGGTCCAGGTGATAGAAAACTTCCAATCTGGGCATGTCTCAAAATTGGGGCACAAAATAAAATGGATGATTCACAGTGAACATGTACAGTTCTAGTGTTCTGGACCTGAAAATTCTTGACCCATACCCGCTTGAGGCTGTTATAAAACTTCATGTTCACCCGGAGCCTATGAATTTACACAATTTCAAGGGGTCTCAATTTGGAAATATGCCTATGCACATACCTTGCCATTCACCCCAACGTTCTATCACATCTCCCAACGGCTCGTCTCCAGTGGCTGCCCCAGTGTTTGCTCAGGAGCTCAGGAAAGCGGAATTTGGTGCCCTCCATCCTATAGTCCGTCCAGCAGCACAAACCCAGATCCTAGAGGCCGTGGCTGGTGTCAATTCAGAATATATCCCCAAGTTTTTTTAGTGCCATCCTTGTCACCAAAAGAGAGTCACTAGTTCAACAACTCATAACTTTGGGGTTTTGTGAGGCGACCCCCACTTTTGACCACTGGGGCCGCCCTTAATAAGCAACTGCCTGAAATGACCAGTGGTTCTACATAGACTTAGACGTAGAGATATGTCTACCTATCTGTATATCATATGTATATATGATATATATATATATTGTAGATATACATATGTATGTATATATATATACAAGTTGATAAATTACAATAGTTCACCTATCTGCAAGAGTTCGGCCATCTGGGGATGATTTCCCTTGTAGGACAGTAGGACACCATCATTTTTAGTGACGTCGCAGCAAGGTCATTGCAATGTATCCAGAACTGGGATATGATATATTGGAATATATGGCGACGATACACACTTGCCAACCATGTCCTAACTACATCTAGATAGTTCCATTGATATATCTACTTGGTGGCTCATCCCACTTAGTAAGTGGGTTATAACCCCAGTTATAAGTGGATTAACCCTACTTATCCCATTTATAATTGGGGTTATAACCCACTTACTAAGTGGGATGAGCCACCAAGTATACATTGTATCTAGATACTGTCTATTAAAAACACAGCCCTGAAATAGCCTGAAAGACCACACCAAGGCTCTCCACCCGAAATACTCATACTCACTGAATCCTGGGAGTCTGCTGGCAGCATGGGTGGCCCACGATTGAAGTTGCGCAAGGAGAGGATGATGTAGAAATTCGCATCCTCAGAAGCGCACGGCACCGTAAGCCGCCGCCAAAGAATGCAACCATTAACCAGGGGATAACCATTAGTTGATTAAATCACCATTTTCCATCATCTTCCTGTGGTTTTCCTATCAATTTTGGTCGCTTTTTAAAATTTTGAGACATCCCCAACTTTGCTGATGGAAACATATGCAAACACCATGGGTTTTTCCATCCTGTAGTTTTTTAACGGGTTGTACTAGAGTATACTTTTAAAAAATACTACATGATATCATATTATATACATCATATTCTATTTCAAGACTTCATGTCTTATAAAGGTTATTTGTTATAGTTCATGGTGTATGTCGTGTATTCGATATGACATTATGTTATGTTAAAGTAATACCCGGTATGATATGATATGGTATGGCATGGTATGATATGTATTGGTGCATCATGATGTTGGTGGATCATGGTGGATCATGATGGATGCATGTAAGTAGATTTGTGGATAGCTATGTGGGTGTGTATGTATATGTTTGTTCTCAAAAGAATTGATCATACCTGTTAAGCCAACAAATCGGACAGCAAATCGGACAGTTTGAGGGGCAAACGCAGGTGCCCATTCTCTACACGACATTAAAAAAACCATCCAAGTCTGGATCAGGACTTTGTGAGTTAGTTAGTTAGTTAAACTTCAAGTCTATGGTTGCTACGTCAACTCTTTAAGTCCATACGAAAAAAAGCGGTTTTAGTTTCGCAGCAGTTTCCCAGTTTCCCAGTTTCCCAATGCCGCCGAGCAGCTAAGTCTCGCAATGCTTTGACACCAGGCCGATTCAAAACTTGACAAATCACCTGACCAAAAACTCTGAGCCGGTGCACGGTGAGGCACTGGAAAAAAATGAGTTAGACATTCAGTTTTGTTTTGACCATGAAAATTGATGAGAAATTCTGAGGATACACATCTACTGTGAATATCATTCACCAATGTCATTCACCATGGTCACAGTGGGTCATTGAAACTTCTGGGAATAAAAAACCTCTGGTAACTTCAGCAGATTTGTTCAAATATTGGTCAAGTTGTGGCCCTTCCCGGAGTCACTGGGCTATGTGCTGCCTAGCTCAAAACTTGGAATCAGCCTAGTTTTTCTGGGAATGAACTTCTCAGTTTTCCCCAAAAATAGGGGGTTCCATCCTTCCATAAATGGGGGGTAACCCCAATAGCTGGATGGTGTTCATGATCAAAACAAAAATGTTCAACGGATGATTCGGGGATCCCCCAATTTGAAACCTCAAAATCTTCATATGGCCGTCTTTTCAGTATGTTGTTGCAGTCTTATCGTCAATGTATCGTCTGCAATAGCTCCAACATATCCAATATGTGGTAAAACATTTCCCATACTGTATTCTCCGTGAAATTCAAAAAAACTGGTATTGCATGGTATTGTTTGAAAATACCCCAATATCTTTCATGGTTTATCAGCATATTTCCCTATTCAAAATAGTTTTTTAATGTTGGGAAGATACGCCAAGAAACAGACCCATCCGGTGGTGTCTAGGCCAAAAACCCCCCAACCGAGGCCGGTACCTGCGTGGCTGAGGAGATCAAGCTGCTGTAGAAGGGACTGGCCCAATTGGCCCGCGGGAGGTCCTTCGGCACACTGAAGCAAACTACCTCACAACGTGGCTCTGGGATGGATTGAATTAAAATCTTCGATTCGTGGAGGAGTTAAGGTACTAGATTGTCAAGGTGTGTGTGTGTGTATTATATATATATATATACATATATATATATTATGTATAATATATATATACCTGTATAATTAGGGGCTATAGTGAGTATATAACCAACACTATGATACATGGGTGGGTACTCAAGTTTGACCCAGAGATGTGTTTGATACCCTCCGGTGTCATCAAGTTCCTGGCTGGGACAGCTTCATCTACGGGGGGAGTGTCCAGCCACATTTGATGACACCGGAGGGTATCAAAGTTACTGAAGTGATTGTTGTAGTTTAAATCTCCATTTCACAACAAAAGACCTTCAGTTGTGCCAATGTGACATCAACTTTTGCTGGTTATATATATATATAATTATATATATATGTATAATTATATATATATATATATATTTGTGTATATATATATATATTAATATATAGCCATCCCCCGTAAGCAAATGAGTATCACATGTCTAACTCCACAGAAGTCTCCAGCCCCCTTTAAAAAAAATTGGGCACTGCTACTGTCCAAGGGTTCAGGCCATCCCGACCGCCAAGGAGCCATGCGATAGATGGCATCTTCGCCCTGCGTCCCGCTTCGGCTCGCAATGGTCATATATTCCTGCCACGTCCCCAGCTCCTGATGGGCGGCATCATCCAATTTTTCAGCCGGCAAATCTTCCGAAAAACCGACTTGGTTTAAAAAAAGCCCACAAAATGAGACCATGACATTGCGGTAAATCACCATTTTTCATGGGTAAATCACCATTTTTCATGGGTAACAGCATCAAATTACCCATGCAGTTTTTCAAATCGAAGCTCCTGGAACCATCCCATACAGCATTGTCCAGGCTCCGGAAAGTCCCGTCGCAGCAGCTGCCGTGCAAGTACCTGATTCCTGGGTCACTGTTGGAAACAGGGGATTGGATCTTTTTGTTGGTGCCTTTGAAAATATCGAATTTCGTTTAAGAGTAGTTTTACAACGAAGTATTAGCTAAGCTTTGTGAAACTATTCAAGATCAAACGCACTCCTTTTTCCTTCACCCTTGCTTATGTTGGTTGCATAGGGTTGGAGTTGGTGAGCTGCCTTTACATGATTGCACCCACTCCAACAGAAAATAAGAAAGCATGGAACGGTGACTGGAGGTCGATGGGGCGGCTGGTGGGACAGCTTGAAATGGTTCATGCAGTAGTGCTACAGATCTTACTTTGTCAAGATCAAACGCACTCCTTTTTCCTTCACCCTTGCTTATGTTGGTTGCATAGGGTTGGAGTTGGTGAGCTGCCTTTACATGATTGCACCCATCTTTCCCATCCTATACATGTCTACAACGTTCCATGCTTGAAAAACCAAGACCATGTGGGACTTGGAAAAGAAAGCTTCGCAAAAAGCAACGCATTTTGCAGAACTTCTGGAAAAAGCTCCATAGCTTCCAACACTTGTTGTCGCACGTGTCGGTCCAGATCATTCAGGTACGTCGCTGCACTCACTTCTTGAAGATAAATCTCCATGATACGGTGGGATGCCCACCTTCCTCTCCTTTTCACCAAATCTGCTGATTCTGTCGCTGTGATGAGCCACGTCGCACCTCCAGCTCTCAGCGAAGCCAGTGTCAAGGCTTTCGGCTTTTGACCTGAGCGATATGGCAGACCCAAAGCAGCTAGGACTTTCTCAAGCCTGTGTCTCAGTGTTGCTCCTGACAAATGCCAAAGCGGCTCACTGTTTTTCAGCTTCGCAAATCCCAGCTGCACGACAGAAATCAGATCCGGTTGTTCCATCTTACCTGCCTGATGCCTCGCTGCACGGAAGCGCGTCTTTGGTTCTTTGATACGTAGCAGAGTATAGGATATTGATCCAGCAACATCATCAGGAAGAATGAGATCCTTCCTGGTCGCATTCAACACCTCTCCAATTCGTAGCAATGAACCCCACGCTAAGGCCATGCAAGCAGCTTCACGGGTCCAGCCCCATATCAGCATCGTGCTGAGCACCGCCAGCAAGATCTGAAAAGGCATCCCCACATGATGCTCCGTAGGTTCATAGGATCCCCACATGAAAGCTAAGTCCCAAGCTTGCTGCAAAGCCCTTCTCAGAATTGGCCTTCTCGAAGATACAGCGTTAATGGTCTCGCTGTAATGGTAATACGGCTTTCCTTTCTTGAACAGCCACCTGCCATATTCGGTCAGAACTTGGTTGATCTTGTCCAGGTCAGGTGGATTTGCAAGAAACAAATCTTCGAAAGCAGTTTCCCTTTCAGCCAGCCAGTTGCACAGCACAGACAGAAGGTCAGTCCTTGCTGCAGCTGTCGCTTCTGTTGTTCGCCTGCCATCGCCCAGTTCTATTCCAGCCCTTGCCGCCTGCCTGGTCAGATCTCCATGGCTGATCCCCTTTGGGATGGTCCTACCCGCTACAGCACCCGCCCCCAGCACCCCAAGTCCACAGCTCAAATTCCAAGGAAGCAAGAGGGGGGCAAAAAGGGCATGCGGCTGAAGGAGACTGGCAGTAAGTCCAAGTCCAAGCCAGGTAAGCTGGAAAGGGGCTGTAAATCCAAATCCAGGCCCCTCTCCGGGAAAACCAAGAGATGAATCAAACGCACTGAAACTGTTGGCATTTGGAGCATATGTGGCTGGGTAAATCCGACAGCATTCATCAGAAACGTGAAAATCCAAAATGGAAGGGGACAGCAGCAAAACAAGTCTGATCCAATTCGAGGCCCATCTTTTCACTTTTGATATCTTTCCAAGGACAGCTAGGATCCTAGAGTCTCTGCACTTGACAATTGAGGCCGGGACTGGAGGAGGAATACTGGCACCTCTGGAAGGATGATCGGCTGGCATGAGCCTGGTAGGAGCAAAACGTCCAGCAAGATATAAGCCATATGCCGTGGAAATCGCAGCTGATTGATGAAGAAGGGGTTTCAAGGCCAACGACGATGACCTCCCTTTGGCCATGCAAGAGCGTGACACATGGGAGTCACCCAGATAGGTGGCACGCACATCTCCTCCTCCACGCGCAAGCCTTCTCATCAGTCTCAAAGTGCTGGCAGTTTCCAAAACATTGATATGGGAACTGCCCTTCCATCTCCAGCTGTCTTCGACCTTCCATTCATAGGCAAGAGCAACGTCATTTGACACTGGATCCTCAAGGCCCTCAACTGCAACCTCGGTAGCTTGCAATGCCTTGTGCATGGCATCAAGGTTCCTCTTGAAAACGCAGGCAAGCTCATATGCTAACCCATCCACATACGTAGCTGAAGGTCTGGTGAACTTGCCTTCAATCTTGATGTGGTTGTGATCCCTTGTGCATGGCCTATCAAGGCTTTCAGCTTGCATGTTCACGGCCGCAAAACAAAACTCCTTCATGTGAATGCTCCCAAAAGAACAGCTAGCCAGAAAATGCTCCTCCATGCCCATTTCCACCAGTCGCTTCCAGGTAGCGAGCCACCGCATCTTTGAACGTCTCGGCTGCTCCAAAAGGCCTAAAGAGTCTGTACGCATAGTCGTGAACATGATGCAAAGAGAGGCATGTGCAAGCTTGGTTCCATGGTAGACCTTGAACTCACTTCTGTTGAAGCCCAATGGGTTCTCATACGACCTGCAAGGAGGATAAGCAGCTGGAGAAAACGTAGTGCAAGGCGGTGCCAAAAGCACTGCATGTATCCTCTTTGACTCCAACATGAAAATGAGCCACTCCACAACTCTGACATCCATGAGGTCATACTGCAGGCTAAATGAGATGTCCATGACAGGGGCGCAAACGACGTTCATCTGACACAAGTACTTCGTCACAACCCCTGCTCCTCCAAAAACCTCAATGAAATCAAACCTCAATCCAATAGGTCTGGGCACCTGTTCACAGTCCCCTCCTGGCTGCAACATCAAGTGTGAATCCTCTGGAGCTTCTTCGTACGTAGCAATCAAGGCTTGAATACGGGACAGAATCGGGATGTTGGCCCCTTTCTTGTCTGCAGTTCTCCAGAGAAACCTTGCCACATGGTCAGGGACTTCAGTGGAGGCAATACCTCCCATACTATTGGAAGCGTCTGTCGCGTAGAGCTTGCTATCCACATCTACTGCCAAGTTTGAAACCATGATAGGACAGAGAGCAGCCGCCAGCGCAAACTCTTGTGCTGCCTTCCGAGGGAGCTTTCTGAGCACAGGGCGAAGAGGATCAAGCTCATGCGCAGGGATCACGTGGAAAACTTCATTCAGGATGGCCATCAAAGGTCTGCGGAACATCAATGCAGAAACCAAAGACCCAACAATGCTGGGGTGCAAGCTGTCAGAGGTGCAGGGCCATGAGCACACCAAAGCCGATACAGATGCCAAAGCCATCCTCTTGTCAGCTGGGACTCCACACAACACCGCACCTTTTCTCACCAGCTCATCGCGCGCATCAATTTCTGCACCCACAACTTTGAAGACCTTCTCACCCCAAACATCTTTGTCATCTGACCCATAGATGTTCTGCTCCTCATAGGCTGCCTTGGCTTGGACAAGGCGCTCATGCCCGCCACACGTTTTCAAAGCTTCTCCAAGGACATGCTTGGCAACAACGAAGTAGTCATCAATGACCAAACCTTCTACTACTGTATCATCCAAAATTGCTTGAGAAGCTGTCAGCCTGCATGTCGGGTTGAGCAAGCCGTAGTGAAGGAGCAGGTTTTGATGAGCATCACATGCAAACTCAACACCAAGGTGGTCACCTTGAAAAAGAGACCCAAATGAAACTGCAACCTTTGAGCCTTCTTCCACCAAAATGCTGCGCCTCTTTCCATGGAGAAAGTCTCCTGACATGAAACGATCATGTTTCCTCCTCTTCTTCCCAAAAACTTCCAAGCATCTCTCAAACGCATCAAGCTCTCTGAAACCTGACAAGGGCCTCAAAGGATAGACCACGTTCGTCAAACTCCTTTCCCACGTTGCTTGAAACTGGTGGTAGAAATCTCTGCGGTCTGTCACGTACCCCTTTAGGCCCTCCTCAAAACGCTTTGGCATGATCTGCAAGAGAGAGACTCCAGTGGGAAGATCATGAGAGGGTCCATGGCCAAGGCGCCCCTCTCTGAAGTTCTGGCCTCTACGATCCCCAATCTGACGGTCAACCAAAACCGACTTATAGTTGTTGAAGACCCTGCTGTAGAACCTGTAGTCTCTAGGAGCCAGTGCATCCGGAACAAGCCTGAGCAGACCTTTTGCATCCCAAACTTTTGCCAACTTGTCGACCTCGTATGGATCTTCATGTCGAACATCAGGACACATGTCATCAGGGGGAACAATGTCATACTCATTGAAACGTGGCTCCACAAATGGCATATACAGCAAGCTTCCCATGAAAGGCCTGCAGTCCCACTGGCCCTGGCCTGTAATCTTCAAACGAGAGGCATCCAAGGAACGATAGGGCCGAAGCTCTTCTGCCTTGTCATTGCAAAGGTCAACAGGAGCTTCTGAGCTGAGTTGGTGGTACTTTGATTTTTCAGTAAGGCCCTCATCTACAAGCACCTTGTACAGCTCGTGAATCCTTGCATCTAATTGATGGCTCTTCCGTCCACACCTCGCAATTGTAGCAACTTCGGATAGGACGCTCGCCTTGATGATCGTCATCAGCCTCTCATACACAGCAATGTGGTGCAAGGCCGGACGCCTCTGAAGAAGCCCCAAACTTTTCAAAGGAGCTCTGTCATGCATAAAATTGAGAGCCATCACGGCTACATGCAAAAGCTTCCTCTTTGCAGCCAACCTCCGTGCTGCAGCGTTCATCTTCTTCAGGCCACAATCCCAAACACCCAAAAATGGCACAGGGATGGGGAACAAGGCGGTTGCGAGAGAGCTCGATCTCTCACGGCAAAGGGTGAAGGACCTCAGCAAATAAAGTGAGAAAGTTGTCCTGGAGCGCAAGATCCTTCTAATGTGCCCATTTGTCCAGACACTGATTGGAACTCCCTCCAAGGAAGATGCATCAAATTCAGGTCCAGGTGCATGGCTTTCCTTTTGGCCTTCGTCAGAATCAGGCCATGGCGCTCGCTCCGTCAGAGCTCTGTCATGATACCCATCCTCCCTCCCGGACTTCGCAGTCCTACCAGAGGCAGGCCGCGCTGTGGAAGAAGAACTCGGTGAGGAGGTGGGCATCAGGTCTTGTAATGGATCTTGATTGCAAAGCCCTGTCGCATTAGAAGAGGTTGCACCAGGAAAGCCAAGTTGCACCTGATCCTGTATGGGTGAGGCTAGGCCTCTTCTTCTTTCCTGCTGTTTGCATTTCCTCCTTGCCCTCCTTGCCATTTTGGCTTTCGCTTTGGCTTCGGCTTCGGCTGCTCGCTCGGCTCCTGCGAAGGCTGAGATGGAGTGGATCTCTTGTTCATCTCGTTCTTGTGATTTTGTATAAAATCCACTTCTTTCGCGTAGGCCAACGCAACTGTGGCCCATCGTTGCGGGCACAACGGGGCAAAAGCCCTCAGCCTGGTTTGGGTGATGGAGTGGCGGTAAGCCCACATCTGAGAGGGGGGCTCCTCCAGCAGAGTCAGCTGGTAGGCCAACTCCCACTTGTTGCCATCCTGAACCGCCTGCTCCACTGCAGTCATCAGGAGAGCGATGTGCTCCCTCACCCCATCCATGTCGTTCTGGAGCGCATTGTCGAAGATGTGGGCCAGGCAGTACTGGACCAATCCCATTTCTCGCGACTGCCCGTAGCCACCGAACTTCTCCAAGTAAGTCACCATGGATATGTCCATTTCCTGGGCGGCCGCAATTGAGACTGGGATCTTTGCTGCTGGCCGCATCCTCTTGAAAGCGTTCTGCAACACCGCCAGGAAAAATCCTCCTGATCTTGTGGATAGCTCCATCTGCAACTTTTCGCGCCCTTGAGCCCCTCTTGACCCCAAAGCTATGTTGGATGGCCCTGCTTGCCCATCTAGCAAGGGATCTCCTCCTGTCTGAAGTTGAGAAACCAGGTTCGTGAGGGCCTTCGACTGCTCCAGGACAGCTTGGGCTAAGAAACCTCCGCCCGGGCTCAGTTGGCCTTCTGCATCCTCTAGAGGGAGCCCCTCCTCCTGGGTTTCCTTCTCTGCAGCTCCTAATGGAGGAGACATCTTCACCTTCGTCCTTGGAGGGCTCCCCATCATCTTTGCAAAGCTCCTCAATGGGGCGGAGACTGGAACCTGACTGGCCCTCGGCGGAACTGCCTGAGACTGCAAAACCATTTGAGACCTCATCTCTTCCTGATCTCTCTGCAGGGCCATGATTTGCTTGGTGAGCTGGGGCAAAACATCTGCGACCTGAGCCAACTGATCTGCTAGGGCAGCGGTGGTTGTACGTTTCGCCTTCTGCTTTGTGGCTGCTTTTGGACCTGCTGTGGCTGTAGGAGAAGCTGGATCCCCCTGACCATTCTGCTGAGGTTCTTCGACCGCAGAGTAGAAGGCCATGGTTTGCTCGTCCTGCATACCGGCAATCCATTCCCTTGTGAACTGCAGAAGCCCGTTGAACTCTGGGAGCTGTGCAGGGTCTGGACCAAAAGACACAAAATTGTCTGGCACAGGGTCTGGCAAAGGCATCAAATGTGCCAGGACCGCGCCATCTGCATCGATCACCAGGACCTCCACATCCTCTGACTCGGTATCCACTCCCGGACCCATGAGCCTTATACTTGTTTGGATGTGGGGCCCATACATTGTGAAAGGGTCTGCCTCGACAGCTGCTTGCAAAGTGTCCATAGGAAGGGCGCCTGCTGGTAGAGCGAGAAGAACTCCACCTTCTCGCTTCATAAGAACCAATGCATGGCATGTGCATACATCTTCCGCCTCTTCTGAGATCACATTCAAAAGGTAAACAGCCGCTGGGTTCTGCTCTATGGTCTCTACTGATTGGGAGTCCATCGGAAAGCTTGCTCAGGCCACGTGAAACCCGCAGCACCACAATAGATCCTTGCCTCAGTACGAGACGGAAACCCGTGCGAGAGAGTGCCTTTGAACTCCCTGACCACTGCACGGTAGGTCGCTGCCGATTCACAAAAGAGAGGGCAGCTGTATCCCGGAGCTCGCAGGACGACGTAGATCTTGTTGGGCAGCTCGATAGGCTTTGATGGACGTGGAACACCGATCTGGCCCTCCAAAACAAATCTAGCCCAGGTGCCTGACTCCCAGGCTCGTTCTGCTCGCTCCCGCTTTGTGAGAGAGCAGTCTTGCAGAGAAACACAAAGGTCCAAAACCCAGCCAGGAAGAGGAGGGATCTGCTCAGCAAGGCCGTCGTACTGAGAGCTTTTGGAGCCTGCCGCAGACACGGCCGGTTCCGAAGGGGCAGCAACGCGGGGCCTCTCAAGGGCCTGTTCCAAGACCTCAAGCCTTAGTGTCAGCTGTTCCACCTTAGTGATCAGCAGGTCCACCTTAGAGTCCAGGCTATTGATGGCAATTGCCAATTGACCTTGGCTCATGCAAGTAACCCCTCAGCCGATGGGAAGCAGCTTGAGGTCCAACCCCAAACCGAGAAGCAGCCAATCGGGAGGGGCAGAAGGCAGATGGCCAGCAAGTCCAAAAGGCCAGGAAGAGGACAACCAGCAAGGACAAGGCTATCCCAGAGGAGAGTCCAGCAAGAAAGGAAAGTCCAAGGGTGAAAGCCGCAGGAGAGCCGCAATGCCCAGGACAGGAAAGCCCCCAGAAATTGGAAGCAACAGCCTCAGACAGCAGCTTCCCAATTTCCGACACCTGCGACAACCTCGAACCCATACAGCTTGAAATGGTTCATGCAGTAGTGCTACAGATCTTACTTTGTCAGCAAGATATGTTTTCAGCATGTATTTCGATTGTTTTGATATAGAGATTTGCTATGTCCATCAGTCCAAACTCCTCTATTCTCGCTGGTAAAGATTGGGAAAATGAGCCCATTTTCAGGTCATGTGGCTAAAACAATATTTAAATCACCCCCCAGTTTTTATGCATTTTTATAGGTGGTCATGGGAGTCCACCAACCCTGGCCCAGGGAATGACTCAAAGATCTGCCGAGTTTAAAAGCAGCGTGTGACGCTTATGGCGTGTAGAAATACCCCGCAGATGGTAAATCCAACTGGGATTTTGATGGGCAGATTTGTTGGGGACTAGTTTCGCAACTGGGATGGGATGATCCAGAGAGGAGAATTCGTTGTTGTTGTCCATTTATGTCATCATTGCAACCTCACTTTCCTCATCAAAACTGCGGAAGACAACCCTGACAGAATCCTGCCACCAACCGCAACTGCAGCTGCGTCTCGGATTGTAGAAGAAGTTGCTCATCAGCCGGGCAGGCGTGGAATCGCCAAAAAGCAATTCGCAAGTACCTAGAGCTGCGACTCCAATGTGAAATTCCAATGTTTGGGAGCCTAAAATGAATAGATCCTCTACCAAACCAGTGTGTGATTTGGGGAACATTGAATATTGGGAGGAAGAGCCCCAAATGGAGGTTTCCTAAAATGGGGATACCCCCAAATATCCCCCAAATCCATTTCAAGTGGATTTTCCATTCGGCAAATTCCATTTTTGGGTACCTCATTGCAGCTGAGCAGCGCAAGATGGGCAAGCGAACCTCCTGGTGCACCATGGCATCGCCCGGGCTGAAAACCTTCAATGTACGAAACCTCGTTGCGGCATCAAGTTATGTGGAAACCATGCTGCTTTCCAGGCATTCTGAGTTGTCCCGAACTCGAAGATTTGCAGTGAGTTTCCAAAAATGTAGCTTTTCTAAGTGTGTGTGCCTCTGAACCCCCCAGTTATGGCCAGTTCGTGAATTTCCACCGGGGTACCTCGATTTTTGCCACAAAAAAACCGCCTCCGCCGAGCTGCTTGAAATCCCCCACGCTTGTGAGTTGCGGCCACTCGGGCTCCAACAGTCCACGCACCTCTGGACGGACCAAAAGGTTCTCCGGTGGCAACGTCGCTGCCCCCTGGTGGCGATGAAGCCGATGGTCGGAATCGGGAAAATTCATTGGATACAACCAAAAAAGACCAAAATAATCCCATCCCTCTAGTATGAAACACTCCCCAAATGGGTCCATACATGTGTAAATCCCCCACTTCTTGGTTTCTGGGTGTTTGGTATCAGATGGGATTCTGTGTTCCCCTGCATCTTCAAAAAAAAAAACATCCCCTCTGTCATGGTGCCCCAAAGCTTCCTGCAGTGGTGGGGAAAATTGGCTTCAGCCATCATGGACCTCGCCTCAATGAGAATGGAAGGGAAGTCGAACTTGATCAAATGTCCACCCAACGGCCGTGGGCGATGCGAAAGTGTACCCAGTGTACCCTGCATCCCCTCTGAAGCAGCTGCTGCCTGGCTTTCGAGCACCAGGAAATACTCACAAGAATGATATGGAAAACCATGGACAACCATGCAAAACCCATCATTTCTATAGCTCGTTTTCCTAGATCCATGGGATTTCCATAATTATGACTTGCCATACTGCGCAAATCTCCACTTTTTCGGGCCTCCCATCCAGTTTCCGACAAGATGGTCCTGGCCAAAGAGAACCAGGCATGAATTCGCTCCTCCTCCAAACTCATCCGCCCTCAACTTCCGCGTTCCGCAGGCGGCTTCGGCTCGAGCTACAAATCTTGAGCCGCAGAGGCGGAGCATAAACCATTGGAGCCAGGCCAACACATCTCTGAATGTGGGGCAAATGTGGGACAGGTACTATATGATACTATATTCTACAACTGGTAGTTCATTCAGCTACGATTTCGTAGAAATCCCCAGAGAATTGACATCCGGACCTCATCCCCCGCCCTGCCCAGTTCCATCCCCACCGTGGCCAAACACAGGAGGAAAAACGCGCGCGACATGGCGAGTCGCAACGTTTTTTGTTGGTGGAATTTTCACTGGTTCAGCATGACTAAGCAACATCTGAACAAAAAAACGATATCGAAACATGTATCAAAAAAAAGTGATTCTTGCAGAGCGGATAGTTTCACATGTGATGAAAAGCCAACTGATCCCTAAAAATGTCTCGCCATCATGGCCAGCACCACACGTCCAAGTGCTCCCCCAAAAAAAACAAGATGATCAAGTGGGAAGCCCCGAAGCATCGCGCTTTGCCAATCATTTTCAACATGAATTTTGTGTGACCTCCGAAAATTCTGCCAGAAATGATGTGTTTCGCAGGACCATCCCAGTTGAAAATGTGGAGTTTTGACCGATGTTCCAGGGCTGATCTGACCATCATGGAGCCGCAAAAGTGGAAACTCCGCCGCAGATGTGGTGAAACAAGCACATCGACCGGTCAGGTAGTGAAAATAACCATGGGTATAACACAGATATCATAGGATTTCATAGGATATATGAACCATTATGAACCCATCATAGGAATTTATAGCATGTACAAAAAAAACAGATACATTGGATGTACCGTACGGTTGTTATCCAATGACTAACTGGGATGCACATGATGCACATGGCAGGGCATTGTTTTGCACCATATTCTCGTGGGCTGATACTTGGACCATGGGAACGGGGCATAAACATCAGTTTTCTGCCCTTTGTGTGCTGGGTAAACAGCATATTGTTGCGTCAGATTCGATCCCAATCCGAAAATAGTAGGGATATGAAAACGAATGTGGGTCTAGTTGCAAAGCACACAACAGTCTATGCATCATCCCTGAGTATAGACACATATTCATGTGATATATATATATATGTATAGGCGCTGCACAAATTGACTATGTTGACATGATTTGTGTGCATCAATCTTGTCATATCTCGTCTACTTGGAATGGCTTGACACTTTTTTGCAACACCTCAGCACAGGATGCGCTGAGTTCGGTTGCACATCACATCTGGATGGTGAGATTTAGAACTCATCTCCTTGGCGGAAGCTGGTTCAGACATGATAAGGTCTATCAATCGGTCTATCAATCGGTCTATCCAGGCTTTGGTTTTTACTAATGATTGTTTTCCTCTGAGCGGAAAAGCGCCTGGATAAGTACAGATACTACACATGCACTGGACATGAACTGAAACCAAATTCAAGTGCAAACATGACAGCAAATCTACGTGTTGCAAATGCCGTCAAATGTAAGCACCCCGCCTTGGTGCTGCATGCTTTGCAAGCACCAACACACTACATTTGATCATAGCCAAAAGGTCGAGTGACCAACAGAGATTTCTAAGAAATGTCTAATTGTAAGCTTTGGTTGCCGGGGTCCACATTGGGATGCCGCTGCTTAACCTGATCCACTTGGTAGATCTGCTTGGGAAACGTCCTAAAGATCGTACATCCAAGGTATGAAAAGTTTCTCGGCACCAAGTTCTCTCAACCAGCATCTGATCCTTCCACCTCTTCGTCTCCATGATGGATGTCCATCCAGTACTCAGGGTCTGAAACTTCACTCATGAAGCTATGGATATAGCGTTCCCTTCGTTGATCTGCATCTTCCAGCTCTTCAGAACTCTCTGCATCGTCCATGGAATTGAAACTCTCTGCAAGCTGTCGTGCAACTGTATCCACATGAATGCTGCTCTCCGGTGGATACGTTCTCACCTGCAAAGCTCGCATCAAATTGGAACCAAAGTCAAAGGCCCTTTGAGCACCATGGATTGCACTAAGACGCCCTTGATGAGAAAGTTCATGGCTGGGGGAATTTTCATCCTCGCTCAAATCATCTATGTCCACAAGCATGTTGTACACTTCAAGGCGTGTCACTTGAAAGTTTCGAAGGCACACCATCAAGTCTTGTAGAAGGAGCATTCGCTCACGGTACACATGCTGCTTTCGAAGTTCATTTGTTCTCATCAAACGACCTGAGCACCTGTCATACAGCCATACTATGAGAGCCTCAGGAGACCATTCTGCATCGATAGGTGGCATGGTCTCATTGGTGAACTGTGGAATCCTGTCTTCATACGTACCAGGTTCTGGCAAAGGCTCGGCTGCATGACCAACATGTGGGGCATTTGAACTGGAAGCCATTGGATGCATATCCTGCGCAGCAGCAAGCAAATTGGCTGGTGCCACAGGACCTCCATTAGGCTCATTGTCTTGAACCCCATCATTCAAATCAACCTGAGCACTGTGAGCATCAACTGCGGGCTCATCATTGTTGTTGCCGCCAAAACTGAACATGTTTGGAAAAATCCAAGGCAGCAAAAGTAAAACTCCAACCACTGCTGTGCATGCAAATTTGAACCAGTTTGAAGTCTCGTCTGGTCTTTCCAAATCGCATCCTTGCAGTTGAAGTAAGCTCAAGGCGCTTATCAACGTGCGAATATTCAACCTCCGCACAAACACCCTTCCAGGGTCATCACAGCCTTCTACGCTTTGAGTTGTCTGATTGTAGATACCAAGCACGGCCATCAATGACCTCATCCTGCTGCATCCCAAACGTTTTGTGCCTATGTCAGCAGGATTTGAATGTCCAGAAACGGCAGCAACGCAAATGGTACCGGTGGCAACCAATTGCTGCAGCCATAGAATTCTGCACGAAAGATGTCACAACCTTCCGACACCCATTCTTTGAAGTATCCCTCTCGCGCCTGAGGAGTCAGTATAAAGATGGATATGTGTTGCTTTTCCATTCAACCATGCAATCAGCTTTGAAAGGAGGATGGCGTCTGAGCAACCAGAAGAACATGCATAGACTTCAGCTTCTGCCGAAGAGAGGCTGATGACCTTCTGTGTACGTGATGCAGCATACAGCAAACAGCGGCCATAAAAAATCAAGCAACATGATACTGAACGTCTGGATTGTCTGTCTGATGCACAATCTGAGTCCGTGAACACCTCAATCACGCTTTCACCTGCATCGTAGTTGTACTGCTGATGGTACACTCCACTGCATCTTCCATCCCACTTCAAAGACATGCAGAGGTCAGAATGACCTGACAGATATCCAACCAAATGTCTCAGCACGCACATGCTCTTCTCAGTTGGTCTTGCTGAATACGTTGACAAGTGTCGTACAATGTGTTGACAATGAGGAAGGTCGCTTGCAAGATACATGAGAATCCCAACACACGTACGAAAAGTTGTACCAGCAATTGCATCAAGCTCCTTGCTGTTGTCCTCTTTGTCCATGTCAGCGTGTCCTGGGCTCTTCTTCGACTGGATCCTTCCATTCATTTTCAGCAAAGAACACATCTGTTGCACATGCTTATGGTGGGTTTGAATTGTCATACGTCCATCAGCATGAAGTACATGGGTGCGCTTCAAAAACGAAAGTTCATCCCCTGGGCGCTCAATCACCTGTGCTGAGATTTCATACTTTTCACGCAGCTTCGCAAGCAAACTGTTCAACACAAAATCCCTTTTTCCAACCACAAGCAAATCGTCCACATGAATGAGAATTGCACATGAGCCATCAGGGCTCCTGAGAAGGCAGGGATAAGCTGGATGCTCCTCCATGTTCAACTGTGATTTCAAATAGGACGTGATGTCCCGATACCAAAGCAATGACCCATCTCGTTGTCCTGGCAAAACTTTGCCTAAGGAAAAGCTCTGAGGATTTCCTGCAGCGTCAGTTGTATGTACCAGAGTGGGCTCTTGCTGATCTACAGTTAAGAAGGCATCTTTCACATCCAGACTTGCAAGAACTGCTGAACATTGGCTCCTCATCTCTAGGAAAATAGCAGGCAATATTCGTGAAGTAATTGCACTGCTAGCCGGTGAGAAAAGGCTCTCACGCTCTGGTTGAAGCCAAGCAAATTCTCGAGCCACAAATCTCGAACGCCTTAGCCATATAGGTGATCCATTTGAGTCCAATTTCTCCCTCCATGTACGCACAAAACGAGTGCTCAACACCTTCGAAGATGCATCCACCAAAGAAGGGTCCTTCAAGACATTGAGCTTTGAAAGCCGCTGAAGCTCCAACTTGTCAGCCAAAGCATCAAGTCGTTGCAGCTCTTCGTCACTCACTTGAGGTTCACTTGCACCATATGGAAAAGAAAGCTGCTTGATGACATCTTTCACATTGTCATCCATGCTGGAACTCCAGTCATCCTCCTCCAAACGCTCGGAGTCGTTGAACTCAAGTTCATACTGTTCAAGCTGATCCAAATCCTGTTCATCAAAATGAAACTTCACGGGCTCGTCCTCGTGTTCATACAAACTGAGGTCTGTGCTGGTGACCAAGCTTCTGATGTTATCTGGCTGTGAATCCAAACGTGGTGTCTTGGGTGCGCGTTCTGAAACATCTGCACCGCCATCTGACTTTGGTGTCGAAGGCTGCTCTTGTCCAAAATCAACTTTGGCTTTCTTCAAAGAACTTTCACCAGCAGCTGGAACATTGTCACCACGCTTTTGACTTCCGTGTTCGTCCATTGCAACATCAACCACTTCAGAGCTGTGTGCACCAGCGGGCATCAGCATTTGCCCCGCCTCACCTTCTGGGGGCGCATCTTGATCTTCTTCAGGATGTTCAGCTGCATAGGCCTGTACTTGAATGGCCTCCACATCAATCCCTGGAGGTAAGGCTGCTCCAACTCCAAAAGCAAATGGTCCAGAGAGCCGCTTGTTGTAAACCATCCTGTGACCAAGTGAAGCATAGCCAAACTCCCAAGGTCCTGAAACCAC